ATATTTTATAATTAATAGATGGAGGATTATTAATTATAATTAATCACTTCTTATACAATTCTGTGCGTTTTTGCTATAGAAACTGTGACTATATTTCACTTAAAAAAACCTCCTAAATATGATTTATATTTTCGGGTATAATCATATGGATGGAGATTCAGTTAACAATCGCCTGCTCTGCCCATCAATAAGTTATCTCTAGCAAGTATTGGCCTTAACTGGGTCAGCTGTTTAATTATTTATTACAGTTAAATAGTTATTGCTATTATTTGTGGCCGCATTAAAAAAAACGTGTTAGCATTTCCAAAATAATTGCCACACTGCAGCAGTTAAGAGCTGCTGTGGAAACTTTACTGCCAAACACGTGTAGAACGACTTAAAATGCAGCGTAGTATATGAAACCGCCCCCCCTCCTCTCCACCCTCTCCCATCGTCCACCAAACACAAGCCGCAGCCATTAATAGAAGCCGCACCACAAACACAGCCCCCTCTCTCACCCGAAAAAACAATAACAATCACAGCTGGCCGCAAATTCAAGTCGCAAGGCGAGTGCAAATGTGTGTGTGTGTGTGTGTCTGTCTCTGTGTGTGTGTTTGAGTGTGTGTGTGTGCGCCGCTGTTCAATTAAACTATGAACAAAAGTTGTAAATTATAATAAATACAACAATAGGCACGACAACTAGCGTTAACTGCGTCCCCCTCCCCCCCCCCCTTGGTGCGCCACAAACCCCCTCGCCCTGCCCGTCTTGGGTAATTGTTACAATTATTTTGTTTACTCTGCCTAAGGGCTGCTAAATAGTCAGCGCGGGGTTGCGAGGGGGGGAAGGGCTGTTTCCTTAGAGTCGACTTTTTTAGCTCTTTGCAAAAGCTTTCGATTTGTATTTTTGCGCAATTTATTTTGATTTTTCTTTGAAATGAAACTCAGTCTGTGAGTTTGTGTGTGTGTGTGTGTGAGTCCGAGTCACACGCATTGCCTGAGTTTGTGTGTTTGTGTGTGAGTGAGTGAGTGCGTGTGATTTCGACTGCATTAAGCAGCAACAAAAACGACTCATTTGTCGCCTAACTGTGCTTCTTGCTGTTGTTGCTGCTATTTTTGTTCTTGTTTCGCTCATTTGCAAGCTTCTGAACTGCACTCTTCCTCTTGCTATTTTGAGTGTTTGTTTTGTTCTCTCTCGCTCTCTCAGCGACGACGACGACGGCGGCGCTCATTCATTGCGGCACAAGCGCCGCTGCGTGCCTGTGCATTTGTGTGTGCATGTGTATGTATAATCAAAAGCACAGAAACGCACACACAAGCACACACACACAACCGTACACAGATACACACATGTGCAGAACGGAGGCCGGCGCACGTGGACGCTAAACGTGATATCACAACAACAAAACAACTGACAGCAAAACAAATAGAAAACCTGACAACGACGAGTCGTTTGTCGTCGTCGCCGTCGTCGTCGTCGTTTGTCGTCGTCGCAGCTGTTTGTCGCTTCGCTTGCGCCGCTGCTGGCGCTGCCAAAGCTGGCAGCGACAGCGACGCAACTGTTGGCAACTGTTGCCCAGCGCCTGTTGCTCTGATTGGTGCAGGCCGCTGACGAGCCAGCTGCGCCAATGGCAGCGCACGCTGTGGGAATCCTTTACGGTTGGCTGCCCACAATTGGCGGCTCCGGGCAGGAGCTTGCACAGCTTCGGCTTGATTCCAACTGCAACGAAGTTGTGCAACAACAACAATGCACCAGACGACAACTTCTTCGACCTGTTGCCGTGCTGGTCGCTGGCATTTTAAATAGACGGATCACGGGTTGTATGCTTGATTTGGTTCGCTGATGCGATTTGTTTGCGGCGAGGGTGAGGGTAAGGGTGAGGGTGAGGGTGAAAATGAAGTGGTGTGGGGTTGGCATGTGAACAAGCTAAGCTGCTGAGCGGTACGCCAAGGGGTGGAGGCGGTGGGGCGTATCGGTGCAACGGGTTCACATGTATTTAAAAATAGTTAATCTATTTACGGCAAGCGCTTTGTAAACATGTGTGCATACTCTTGAATGTTCAAAATAAAGGCGAGCTTTTAAATAATTACGATTGCATTTATTTGCCTGATAAGCATTTGTTTGAAGCCATTTTTAATGGCTAGAAGGCAAATTGAAGTACGAAGCATCTTCTATTTCATTTGATATATATATGTATATATATCTATTCTTGATCGGGGCGACGAGCCGATGTTAATTCGCGTATGCCCAACGCAGAAAGAGCTTATCAGTTTTTTCCGATATCTCGCCCGTTTCGATAGTATCGATACAGTCTTGGTTTTATACGCATAGCTCGAAAATTTTAGGAACTAGATACACCAAAGTTTCGGTTTTTGTACTCGTAAGGCATAAACAGATTGGAAAGGTCTCACATTTCGGATATATCCCTCCCGTTACCCACAAAATTGATATAAAATAAATGTTGTATGCATTGGGTTTTGGTATTTACACGATTTTGAATCAAATCTACCAGTGTATCTCCTAGTCGGGTATTTATTTTATTATTCTGAATTATTCATTATACTTATTAATAATTATACTTATTCAAAATTTCTACAAAATATAAATAGTTCTAAATTCCCTATTTCAGTCTCACATATCCAGTAATTCGTTCCTTCTTGATTCTCTTATTTTACTTTTACCTGCTTTAGCAGTTGCCCTTTCAATTCCGTTGTTCCACATTTAATATACATACATATGTACATCTCAACATGAATACACATATTTTTCTATATTTTCCTTCGCCAATTACAATTATGTTATTTCTTATTAATTTCTACTGTTCCGTTTCCACTGTTCCATATCCACAGCTTCCTTTTCATTGTTCCATTTCCGAATGTTTTTTGTTTCCATTCTTTCGTTCCTCTTTGATCGCTCTTCTTTGATTTTATATTTACCACACTTAGCTATTGCCATTTCAATTCCACTGTTCCATTTTTAATATATGTATGTACATCTCGACATAAATATATATTTGAATAATTCCCTTTCCCAATTACACTTGCATTACTCCTTTTCAATTTTGACTGTTCATTTTCTACTGTTCCGGTTTAACTGTTGCGTTTCCATAGTTCCCTTTCCATTTGCCACTGTTCGCTTCTTGCGTTCCGTTTCACTGTTCCTTTTTTTGCTTTAAAATAGATGGAAAAACTTAAAATTAAATATGAAAAAAATCGAACTTTTAATTGCTTAACCCTATAACAGTTTTTAACAACAAATCGTTTGAAGCTCAGAATAAAAAAACTTAATGAGCTCACGCAAAAATTTTTATAGATAAATTGGCAAATTATATGGAAATTTAATAACTTAAAAAGCGCATTTGCAAAATCCCAAAGGGTTAATTACTAACAACAAAATATTCATTTCTAATTGTAAAGATGAAAATGAAGCGAATGCTTCATCACGTAGCACGCCGTGGGGTTAAGGTTCGGGGCTAAGCTCACAAAGGTTGTCCGGGCAACGAGAGCCGAAATTTCCATTAAATTGCGCATACGTCACGTGTTGCAAGCCAATTAATATTGCGTCCGGCTGCAACGCGCCTGTCATCGATACTTTAATCACATTTTGCCACAAAATAAAATGCCAATTAGAACAGGAAACGGAAGATGGCCGCGGGTGCATTTGTTTTCCTTTTTCTCCCTCCTCTTTTTTTTTCGCTAACTGTAAGCAGCGCCGAGCGTCGCACACTGAGCGAAAACAGCGCACAATTTTGTGGCTCTGAGTAGCTCAGTTGCCGCGTATCTGTGTATGTGTGTGTGTGTGTATTTGTATCTTTATCTGTAGCTGTGGCTGTAGCTGTATCTGTAAGTATGCCAAATGCAATCCGTCTGTTCAACGTGCGCGCCACTCTGCATGTGTGTGTGTCTCTGTGTGTGTGTGCGCGTGTGCGCTTAACTGTCTCTCAGTTTCAGCTGCCGCATGTGTATGTGTCTGTGTGTGTGTGTGTGTGTGTGTGTGTGTGTGTGTGTGTGTGTGTGTGTGTGTGTGTGTGTGTGTGTGTGTGTGTGTGTGTGTGTGTGGCCCGTCCCTGTGTGTTCACAACACGTGCTTAGAACGTTGCTAGACACTGGGCTTTGGGTCATACTGAAATCCGCGTGACTTTGTCGCCGCTGTCGCTGCTGCTGTCGCTGCTGCTGTCGACGTCGACGTCGCTGCTGTCGCTCGTTGAATTTTCATTAGCTACAACTGCGTCGCAGCGTCGCTGCCCTGCAGTATTTATATTTATTTTTATATTTATTACTATTATTATTTTTATTTATGCATTTGCAAATATTTTTTTTTGCGCCATTCTGCGCACTAGCTTCAAGTTTCTTGCTTTTTGAGAGATATCTACTACCGCTAGTTTACAGTTAGGCCTTAATATGTGTACTAAGTATATAAGTATATATATGTATATAGGCCCCTTTTTGGTTGGGTTTGTTTTTTTTTGTATTTAACTTACATTGCAATTTGCGCTGTCAGCGCAGCTCGCCGCCCCGCAACCCTGCGACTATAACCCTTGCAGGTGTGCAGGTATGTGTGTGTGTGGAGCTGCGTCGACGCTGGCAGCGGCAGCGACAGCGGCAGCAATGACTGCAACGACTGCTCTGCCCGCTAGGGCTGAGGCTGAGGCTCGACTATGGCCGGCATTCGGTCGCATCGCGTTCTCCAGTTCAAATCGTCAACGTTGCCTGTCGCTCAGCTTTTCCAGCTAGTCGTCAACTGCGCGTGCGATTCAAACGTGAAAAACTGTGCTAAAAATCCAAATAAAGAGCCAAATAAATTATTAAAAAATTTATCCAAACAATACAAAATAGGCGCGCAAAAGTGCAACGCATTAATTTAACTTTATACATGTGTATATACTATATATTACATATATAATAATAATAATTGCGCACTAAGCCAAAGAAAGCCTTTCAGTGCAAAGTTCTAAAAAGCAACTGCGCACACTAAATAAAAACAACAAAAAAAAAAAAAAAAAAAACAAATCTATAAGCGATATTTACATACATCGTATACTATATGCATAAGAAAAATAATCGTTCAAGTGTTTCAAATAAGTAGCAACAATTGTGCCAAGTGTCGTGTGTGTCAAAGTGTTTGTGTTCGTGTGCGTGATTAAATAGTTAACACAGGAACAGATAACTTACACACACATATATATATATATATATATATCTGTATATTAGTGCATAGTACTTTATGTATATGTATCAGATAGACGATCTATAACAAATGCAAACAGCATCGCCAAAGTTACGGATATAATTTCACAACGTTTAATATTAATTATAATTTCTACAACAACAAATCTTCAATATTCACAAAATAATTTACGAATAAGAAAAGGTATTAAACAGAAGAACAGAAGAAATAAGAAAAAGAATACTTCAGTTGATTTGGCATATGATTATTTATTTGTATGCTATAAGAAATAAATGTAAAAATAATTTGAAAAAATTGCTCATTTTTTAAGCACACTTTTGTCGCTTGTCAATTTTGGTCAAAATAATAAACTACAAATATTCCATAATCGAAATTAATTGAACTAGGTGCAAGTAAAAATTAAACTAATTTTTATTTTATATACATACATACACAAATATATATATGTATATGTATATAAACAATGCCTTTTCTTATTCCTTATCGCCGCAACCGCCAATGCAAATAGAAAGCACAGCTCATCGGCATCTTGAAAAAAATCATTAATAATAATATTAAACAATACCATTCATCTATAACTCATATCGCACAAACGTCATTTAATGTACTCATACCTAAAGTCAAAACCAACAAACAAACAAACAACTCTCATCATTATCATAATCATAATCACAGTCATAATCGGTATTTATTTTGTTATCAAGATTTGAATACTTTGCCATCAAAATCTCAAATCTCGGACAACACTAATCCATATTTTATTTGCAACGTTAGGCAATACTAGCTTCAAAAAGACTTCTACAAAAACAGTGTTGATAAACAGTGAAAGTTGAAAATGCGCACAGCTTTAAGCAGTTGCCCAAAGTTTTTATTGCTCTGCAACAAATATAATCACGCCAATCACAAGGACGTGGCCACTTAAAGTGACAACAACAACAACAACAACAACAATTATAACTGAAAAACCAACTGAAAAGGAAGCAGTTAAAGAACCAGTGTTAAAAACCAGTGTTAAAAACTAGTGCAAAATGGCATCCGATACAAATGCGTGCGCCAGTTTCTTTGCCCAGGAGCAAGCGAATGCGACGCTTTCGCAATATTTTCAGCAGCTCAACTCGCATGTGGCAGCGGCTGTTGCAAGCAGCAACAATAAGAGCTCCAGCAGCAACAGCAGCAGCAGCAGCAACAGCAACAACAACAACAACAACACCACTAACAACGGCAACAGCATCAGCAGCGGCAACAGCGACAGCGGCAACGATGGCAGCATGACGGGCTCAACAGCAACATTGGACAACCATCGCAGCAGCGTCAGCAGCAATGATTCCGGCAAGAGCAGCAACGGCGGAGGCGGGGGCGCGGGTGGCTCCTCGTCGGCAGCAGCAGCAAATGCTTGGAACCTGCAGCAACAGCAGCTGCAGCAACAACAGCAGCTGCAACAGCAGCATCATGCACAGCAGCAACAGCAGCTGCAGCAACATCATGCACAGCAGCAACAGCATCATGCACAGCAGCAACATGCTGCTGCCCTGGCCGCTGCACAGCAACAACTGCAGCAGCAGCAGCAGCAGCAACAGCAGCAACTCTCACATCACGCCCAGCAGCAACAGCATGCACATCAGCAGCAGCAGCAGCAACAGCAGCAGCAGCAGCTTCATCCACTAGCACACAATCCGCATTTGCATCCGCATCATCCGCACCAGCAGCAGCAACAGCAGCAGCAGCAACAACAGCACCTCCATCAGCAGCAGCAGCAACAGCAGCAGCAGCAGCAGCAACATCATGCCGCTCAGCTGGCCCACTCGCTCTCCTCGGCAGCAGCCGTGGCCGCGGCTGCCTCCAACTCCAACACCAACACCCACTCGATCTTTGGCACCGGCAACTTCCACTACAAGACGAACAACTCGTGGACGCTGCCAACGCTCAACTATCAGCGCATCTATCAGGAGAATACCCACTATCATCAGCGCAACAGTTTCATGGACAGCCAGGGGCCGGTTGTCGGTGCCGTCAATGAGGCCGCTGCTGCAGCAGCAGCGGCAACTGCTGCAGCCGCGGCTGCTGCTGCCGCCAGTGCCGCTGCAGCAGCAGCGAGTGTCAACGGCAACAACAATGCATCAACAAATGGCAATAACAATGCTTTGGCAAAAGCCAGTGACAACAACAGTAGCAACAGTAGCAGCAATAACAACAACAACAACAACAGCAACAGCAGCAGCAACGTCTCATCAGTGCAACATGCGGCAACTGCGGTGGCCGCGGCAGTCATCGCCAACGAGCATCAGAATCATTTGAACAGCTTAAAGGCGCGCTTTCAGCCAACCAGCACAGGTGGGTCTTCAAATACCAATTAGACAGCCAAGAAATTAAATAAATAATGCAAATAATGCAAATTCTTGTTATTATTAAAAACAAAATATTAGCTCAGCTGCATATTAAAACTTATCGGCAGGTAAAAACTGCAAGTTTTTCTCATTCTGAGTTCATTTAACATGTTTATAATATCTCTTAACATAAATCTTGAAGCTATGTGTACGTTTTCAGATGTTAAGCTAAGCTTTAACGGATTCTGTTAACCAAAAGTACATGTAACATGTTTTTTTATTTTCTTAACAGAACTGTTGAAGCTTGCCTCTTAACAGACTCTGTTAACTAAGAGTAGATCTTACATGTTTTTGATATATTCTCAACATCATTTTTGAAGCTATGTGCAGGTTAACTTGGCTATTAACAGACTCTGTTAACTTCTATTACATGTTTTTAGTATTTCTTAACATAAAAGTTAAAGCTTTATACGTTATCAGCTGTTTAGATTGGTTCTTAACAGTCACTGTTAACTAAGGGTACGTCAAGCGGTAAACAGCTGCCAACTTTACTTTTATTAATATTTTCAACCAATGTTACAAACCCAAAATATATGTCTGTGGGTTGGTGAGGCTTACGGCTCGAAGCCTTTAGGTTAGCTTCGTGAAGCAGAGTTTCTACGTCCTTAAAACCAGTTTTTGGTTCAAGGATTAATTTATTAGTTTTCAAATTTTAATGAACTCCATTTTATGTACATCTGCCCGTTGTGCTGAAAATATTGCAAGATCTACATATTTTCATAAGCAAGATGCGGGCTACATTTTTGCTATGTTTACAGCTGTTTAACATAAAATGTTATTTTGCACATACAACTGTTGCCAACATCTGTTATTTTGCGCATGCAGCTGTTGCTAACAGCATATTGCAAATAACATGAGCTCAAAGCTAATCAGCTCAACTCTGTAAAGATGAATCTCTCCCAAATGTCGTCATATTTGAAAATATATTTAGGGCATACTCGACTTAGTAGTCTTTGGACGTCTCTTAGCAGCGTTAAGTCATTATTTATGCCAAATATTTATGCTAAATGTTTTATTTTTTGCATTATCATAAATTATATTTTATAAATTGTGAACTGTGCATTTGCATAGCCCCGTCTAATTATTCACAGTGCGCCGCTTAATCGCCCTGCACAGCTTACTCGCCTGATCGGCTTTCCTAACGTTCTCTCTCTCTCCCTCTCTATCTCTCTCTCTCTCTCTCTGTCTTGGCACTATCTCGCGTTCTCTCTCGCTCTGCTGATATCATCGTTAAGCGGGGATCTTTGAGTAAATGTCAAATAATAAAAGCCCGAGGTGCACACGTGAGCATCTATATGCAAATGTTTTTCTTTCCTTGTGTGTCTGTGTTTCTGTGTGTTTGTGTTTGTCAGTGTTTGTGTATGTGTGTGTGTGTGTGCTTGTATTCTGTGTATTCTGCTTGCAGCAAAGTTCGTCGCCTGCGTCATTCAGCCTATCGCAATAAAAACTTAATTAATATGCGCACAAAACTTTTGCTTAGTTTGCATTTTACAGCTCGTTCACATTTTTTGCTATTTATTTGTTTTATTTTATTTTGATAGTTGACTTATCTTTTGATAAGTTATGACCTACGTCAAGTACTTTTACATGCCCTGTAAATTGTTAAGAATGGAGTATGCCAAACGAAAGTTCATATGCCAAACTGCCAAACTGGGAAGTATTTATTAAGTTGAGAAACTAGATAAATTTGCTTAAAATTTGCTTATTATTATCGATAATAGCTGTTATCTAAATCGATAAATATCGGTTGTACGCATATATCGTTGATTGGAGAGACGCCTAAATGAGCATACAGTTTCCCCTATATATATATATATATATATATTTGCACATATCTCCCCATTTCGCTCAAAACGATAAGAAAGAAAATCCGACCTTGGACTGGATGCGATATTTAAGCCTTGAAAATTAATAGAAATGACATTTTCACAGTCAAAAGTTATTCAAAACGGAATACAGGGTAGCCCCTAGTCGTTCAAGTGCACAACTAGTGCACTTATCTTCTAAATCTTTCTCTCTCTCACTCTCTCTCTCTCTCTCTCTGTCTTAATCTCGCTCCATCTCTCTCTTTATCTCTCTCTTTCTCTCTCTCTCTCTCTCTCTCTCTCTCACACACGCCACACGCTTGGCTTGCAAATTGCCATTTCACACTTGCATTCTTTGCCGTAAATTATTTGACAAGTTGTGAAATTTACAATTTGCATAAATTAAGTGAAAATTAACACACATTTGCAATGCCTATTTATCGGCCCAGTTAGTTAGCTGCTTGGCACAGGCCTTTTTAAGGTTAGGTTCGCCAAATGGGTCAAATAAAGGTTTTTTTGGCCGCAGCGCATCAGCTGATTAGCCCAAAAGAAACCCAATTGACAAATGGCATCAAATGTTGCCATCATTCAGCACACATCGCTCCTTTGACCAAAGCACGCCCCCATTTTCCGGGCGGGTCAGCCTTTGTGCATTCGCTCTTTTTCCGCCCCCAAAATGCATTCACTTTGATTAGGTCTCAAATAAAGCAAAGGCCACACAGCGGCTCCATATGAAAATGAAAAGTTGATGTGATGACTAAATTAGGCAAAATTATGCTTATGAAATGCATATTGACTATTTACCTGTGGCAATGGGGCAGCAGCAAATGATCTATTGCGGCATACCCTGGAAATGCATTTCACAAAAGTGTGTGCTTGGAATTTTCAGTTCCTATGTGAACTGCAGCTGGACTAAAGAGGTAGTCTTTGTGCAAACTATATTTTAAAGCGAGAAAAGTTAAATCAAAATAGCTGTTTGTTAGAATTCTCTCGGGAAATTCTTTTTTTTATGCAAATATGTGCTTCTATAATTTCTATAATATTTTATATTTCCATAAATCTTTATTTATATACACAAGTCAGCCTTAAGATCTTGTTACAGAAAGAAAGAACTGTTTCTTTTTTCTATACAAATATAGTTTCTATTATTTGTTATATTTCTATAAATCTATCTTTATATATATAAAGCTGACTCATGATCTGGTCTTAGGAATTTGTTCGGGAAAGAACAGTACCTTTCTTATATATATGTATAAATAAAATTTCTTCACTCTCTTATGTTTCTATAAATCTTTATATATATATAAGACAGAGGTACGATCTGTTCGTAGGAATTCTTTCGGGAATGAACTTTTGTTATTTTTGTATAAATAAAATGTCAATGATTTCTTTTATATTTTGAGTTGACTTAAGTTATGTTATTAGGAATACTTTCGGGAAAGTAAACCTTGAGCTAGTACTTTACATAAAATTCACTTAAGAAATGTTCAGTAGAATGTTTACAGGCATTAAATACTGAATAATATTTGTAGATAACTTAAGATCGAGTATCTGAAATCTAACAAAAAAAAAAAACAAAAACAAAACAAACAAATGTTAATAAGCCTAAATTCTGGACATATCTATGTAACTATATGTGACTTAAATTTAGATCAAGGCAGTATTGAGCTTGCTTTTGGATCTTTTCTGTTAAATCTAGTTAAAATTGAACAATTTAGAAAAGTTGTAAGCTCAAACATCCATAGATAGATCCGTAGATGTAAACTTAAATGAACTCAGCTCATCAGATGACATACATACATACATACATATATGGGCTGGCACACCTCTAGCTTTCATCCCAATAGCGCGCATCTCTCTCTCTCTCTCTCTGTTTCTCTCCCCCTCTCCCTCTCCCACTCTCCCGAAAAGGCATTAAACATTTATGTGAGTGGGCAGTTGCCATAAACTTTGTTCAAATTTTCACATTTGAGCGGCCCACACTCATCAGCTGCAAACTACATCCGCGACTTGCACCCTTGGCCAACCCTCTGGACAGCATTTCGGTGTCGCATTTGCATATGTGATGCGCCCAGCCTTCCCCTCGCCCCGCCCCGCCCCAACCCCTTTAGATGTCAGACAGCTTGCGATTTGTTTTTAATTTTCGTTTTTTCGCACCCAAACACGAAAAAAGAAGAAGAGCAGCTTGGCACAATGCGATGCAACACGATGCGATCTGCTACGATACAATCTGATACGATACGATACGATACGATACGATACGATACGATATAATACGATACGGTTATTGTTTCGGTTTCGGTTTCGGTTTCAGTTTTTTGTTTTTGTCGCTGCTCGAGTGAAATTTGTTCAAGTTTATTGCAAACAATCGAATTTATTTTATTCGCTGCGTCGCTTAATTTTAATTTATATATTTTTGTTGTTGTTGTCGTCTCAGCTGTTTTAATACCCTGTTCGCACAGCCAAATGGGGTATATTGGTTGTCTTTGAGGAAACTACTATATACAGCTTAGTGTCACACGATTTAAAAGTCATCTTTTCATAGTCACAGTTTTAAGAATTGCAAAGCTACATTTTTGAGCCACAGTTGAGAAGAGCGACATTTGAAGAGTCACAGTTGAAAGGAGCCACAGTTGCAGAGTCACAGTTGAAAAGAGCGACAGTTGCAGAGTCACAGTTTAAATGAGCCTCAGTTGCAGAGTCACAGTTGAAAAGATTCTCAGTCTTCGGGTAACTAAAGCTTTTTATTATGAGGAACAGTTTTAGATCCAATTTGAATGTCAAAGTTTTAGAGGCATAGCCTAAGAATGAAATATCCGAAAAGCTCAACTCCTTCTAAATAAATAAGGATAATGCAACAGTTTTCGATCCAATTCGCAACGATCAAATATCAAAAAAGCTCAATCTCTTTTGAATTCAGTTAAAGTGGCACAGCTTTAGAGCCACTGGCTAAGAGTACAGTTTGAAAGATACTGATGAAAAAAGCACAAAGGCAAACTCCCAAACTATTTTCAGCTATAATTCGACTGGGTACAGGGTATTGCCCAGTCGTCTAAACTGAACTCGTTTCATTTTTTTTTTGCAATGAAAATTTTCAAAAAATTGCCTTTTTAAGGCACTCAGTTGTTTTGCTAACTGCTAC